AGGAAGGAAGGAAGGAAGGAAGGAAGGAAGGAAGGAAGGAAGGAAGGAAGGAAGGGATTTTAGAAGTCCAGAAAAAAAAGACATGAGTCTTTCCAAGAAAAGTCTTTCAGGTCAACAGCACTCAGCACAAAAGAACCTTTCCAACTCCAACACACCACTGGTATATGGTACAGGGAGTATCTCATCTCCTCAGAAGAGTACTACATGAATACCCTGGAGACTAATAAGGGAAATCCCTGGTAAGCCTGAGGAAACCCTCCATCAGCAGTTTCCTATGTGGTCTCTTGTGCTAGCCCACCTAAAATAAGGGCTCCCCAATAATGAAATCAAGAACTGATCCTCCCACTGACAAGGCATGAGCCCAGAAGAGTGAGATCCCACAGATAAGTGGTTGGTAACAAAGCTAGTGCCAATGGTATCTCTGCACCTTGGCCCAACCCACCTTAGTGCTTCCAGAAGCACCTAACAGAACTCATAGTTCTCCAATCACATTTCATAAGGTTTTGTAAGAAACACAATGAGATTGAAAGCAAGCTGGAGAGCAAAAAAGGTACTACAAAGGCTTTCAAGGCAGAGGATTTCCTAGTCATGACAAACTATCACTTAACCCCAGAAGCAGGCACCATTACACTCTGTCTGGAGGGCAACAGGCTCAAGACACACATTCAGAAAAATAATGCCTTTACCTGTCTGTGACTTTGTGGTGGCCATGTAACATTGGTTCTGAGGTAGCGACTGGTGGAGGGCTGGGAACGTGGGTAAAAGCTGCTGTCGTCCACATTCAGAAATATTTCTGCTGATATCTTCTTTTGGTTCCTTATGATCTCGAACTTCTCTGTGGTCTTTGCTGGTTGCATGCTTTAAAACATAGACAATTAGCAATGAGATTGTACAGAAGCAGATGGTCACTGAAATATCATGCATCCAAAGATTACACTTCTTTTCCCAATTAATTCCCATGTACTGAAAGACATTCAGAGGAGGAAGGTAGAAAGTTCGAAAATTTGCACAATGCAACTGTCATCAAAGCTCTCGGACACATGTATCTGTTACCCCCACAGGAAAAGTGAAATCAGTGCCACAAACCATGGTTCAAGCTAAGAACAGGGTTTTCAAATCTAGTTCTAAGGAGGAGCCAAGAGCAGGAGTCGGGTAAGTGGCACATGACTGCCTTTAATACCAGCACTCCAAAGGCAGAGGTAGGAGATCAGGAGTTCAAGAAATCATCCTCCAGGCCTGGTATGGTGGCACATGCCTTTAGTCCGAGCTTTTGGGAGGCAGAGGCAGATGCAGGCAGATCTCCAGGTTCAAGGCCATCCTGGTCTATATGGAGAGTTCCAGGCCAGCTGGGGCTACAGGGAGACCCTGTCTCAAAATGACCAAAATAAAAAATAAAATAAAATTATGTCATCCTCCACCACAAAGTGAATTTAAGGCCAGCCTGGGGTACATGAGGCTATTTCAAAAAGGGAGAGAAAAAAAAAGGACTTTTTCTCAGTCCTAGTGATTTGTTACATAAGGAGGTAGATGTGAGAGAGCACTGGTTCCACAGCTGAAACATATTTCAAGTAAACAGGTCCTTTAATAATTTTAATTAGCCACCACAATGAGAACTCAATCCCAAATATGAATTCGAAAGGAAGAGAGGGGCACATAAAGGGAACTCCTTATTTTCGGAAGTCTCTCCAAGGAACGGGTACTCTAACCTAATATATGGTCTTCACTACAGAAGAATAGTGACGTGGGCCACTTAGATAAACCTGACATAATCCAAGGCTAGTTTCGGCTAGGCAGTGGAGTAACAGCTGTGAAGGTGGTGTAGGGAGCACTGTTAGCACATAGCTGCTCTACCTGCAGGGGGATGGGGGTTAAGGGGGAGACTGGGTTTGTTTCAAGGAGGCAAGACTAGGCTGTCTTGTCTCTTAGAGGTGGTTTTTAGGGGCTGGAGAGATGGCTCAGTAGTTAAGAACACTGGTTATCCTTGCAGAAGACACGGGTTCAAATCCCACCACCCACATGGCAGCTAACAACTGTAACTCTGGTTCCAGGGGATCCAATGGCCTCTTCTGTCCTCCGAGGGCATTACACGACATGGGTGCACTTACCTACATGCAGGCAATACCCTCGTATACATAAAATAAAAATAAATTTTTTAAGTGGTTTTAGAGGCTAGGTGGTAAAGAGTGCTTACTGTTCTTGAAGAGGACCTGGGTTTGGCTTCGATCACCCAGGTCAGGTGGCTCACAATCACCTGTAACTCTAGTTCCAAGAGATCTAATGCCCTCTGGCCTCCACAAGAACTTGCATGCATGTGAGTACATATAAACTCACTCAGGTACACACACATACACATACATACATAAAAATAAATGAAATCTTTTTTTTTTTCTTTTTATTTTTTGGTCTTTTTGAGACAGGGTCTCCCTGCGGCCCCATCTGACCTAGAACTCACTATGTACATTAGGCTGGCCTGGAACTCAGAGATCCGCCTGCCTCTGCTTCCTAAGTGCTGGGATTAAAGGTGACTGGCTAAAATAAATGAATCTTTTTATTTTATTTTATGTGTATGAGTGTATTGCCTGCATGTAAGTAAGTGCACCTGTGTCATGCAATGCCCACAGAGAACAGAAGAGGCTGTCGGATCCTCTGGAACTGGAGTCATGGACAGTTGTTAGCTGCCATGTGGGTGCTGGGATTTGAATCCGGGTCTTCTGCAAGAACAGTGCTCTTAACCACTGAGCCATCTCTCCAGCCCCAATAAATGAATCTTTAAAAAAAATTAAAAAGTGGTCTTAAAGGTTAGACCATGACCTGACAATCTTCTGAAATGGTTTTTAGTCTCAGCCTTACATGACCCCAGCTCCCTGCAAAGCAAAGAACTGTGAAAACAACAACACCCCCCAGGACCCAACACCCATGCCTTTACTCCAGTCTGCCAGGATATGATTAAATCTCCTACCCTCTGTGTCCATAAACTCACCCATGCCATAGATATGGTTTTCTCAGTTTAAACCAAACACAATTCCGTTTAAACTAAATTTTATTCAGCACACAAGTAATTGCCATAAATAATGAAAAGTAATCAAAGACAGGGTCTCCTTCAGCATACAGTACTAAGAAAACAGGATACCCACATTCAAAAGAATGAAGTAGACAAGGTGTGGGGATGCATGGGGGGAGCACACAGGGGGTAGAGCTAAGCAGATCTCTGTGTTCAAGGTCAGTGATAACTTGTCCTTTAAAAAGAAAAAAGGGAGGCTGGTGAAATGGCTCAGCAGTTAAGAGCACTGGCTTGTCTTGCAAAAGACCCAGGTTCAAATCCCAGTGCCCACATAGCAGCTAACAACTGTCCCTAACTCCAGTTCCAGGGGATCCGACAGCCTCTTCTGTCCTCTACAGGCACTATAAGATATAGGTAAACTTGCATATATACACGCAATACATGCATACACATTAAAAAAATAAAGCAAAAATAATTTTTTTTAAAAAAAGCAGGAACCTTTTCTCACACCACATACAAAGACTAACACACACACACAAACACACACACACACAGAGGCATTCATGCCTTTTCTCCTCTCCTCTTGCCTCCTCTACCTTCTTGTATTAACTGCTCAGTCTTCTGCCCAGACAGACCCTGGCCAGCAGTATGAGCTCTCACAGCCTGAAAACTTATTGCAGCCACAACTCAACATTGAATCGCATCATTACTAAACACCAACCTCCTCCATGTGATAGAATGGTAGCACCACCTCCTTCTCCACAACTAAAGCTCAACAGCTACCACATGTGAAATGAGGAGGGCAGAAAATCCAGAGGGGGAAGAAGACAGAAACAGATGCTAGAAGAGGAACAGCCGACCTTCCTAAAACAAAGGCCTCTACATAGGCTGACTAGATTCGCCAGTAGGATGAGTAGTGGGGAACAGCTGAGGGTGCCGATCACACAGCAGACAGCAGCAGGGATATCAGAGTATAAGGGCTCTAGTTGGGGGAGGGAGGCTATAAGAGGGCGCCATCTGGGAAGTGGGTGTATAGTTGAATAAGGTGGTTTGGGATGTTCTGTGTGATACACACACACATACACACACAAATAAAATTTTTAAAAAATGAATATTTGAGGAGGAAGCATAAAAATTTACATCATGTTAAATAGTAGAGGTGATGAACATTACCATTGAAATCTATCTGATGACTTCACAGACATACACAGGTGCCAAGGATCCAAGTGCAACCTATTATGACTAGTAACAATTAGATACATACAGATTAGAGATGCATGCGCCAACACATCAGTGTTATTAGCAAAAACAATGAATCTTTCTGTAAGAAACAGTATATTTTAAAATGAAATGGAGATCTTTTTTAAAGGTTAAAAACTCAATTCAATTTTATGGCTTACAGGGCTTATACTGAGTTTTATATTGTATAACTGTATTAATTCAACAGCAAAGCTAAAAATTTTATAACCACTTTTGAAAGAGATGTATCTTTGCTCTAGAAACTGTTATTGAGTATGTTAAAGCTGCAATGAAATGCTTCTAAAAAAATGTTTTTAAATATTAAAAAAAGCTGGGCGAGGTGGTGCACGTCTTTAATCCCAGCACTCAGGGGGCAGAGGCAAGCGATCTCTGTGAGTTCAAGGCCAGCTGGTCTACACAGTGAGTTCCAGGACAGCGGGGGCTACAGGGAGACCCTGTCTCAAAAAGACAAAAAACAAAAACAATAAATAAATAAATAAATAAATAAGGCACACACACCCCTGCCCCCAAAAAATTGGCATATAAATGGTCAGAGCAACTGCAACTTAATAGTCCTAAACTGGACACATACCAACTCCAGAGACAGAAGACAGACCAAAACAAGTTTGAGCTCAACCTGGTTATACAATCAGTTCCAGCCCAGGCAGGGCTACACAGTAGGACCAATCCCCAAAATAAAGGCCTACAAACCCCATAAAAAATTTTAGCACTTAACATTTGGGATAAGAAATGGGATTAGGTTTAACCTGATCTATATTTGCTATGTGCGGTGGTGTGTTTTTTATTTTGGGGGGGGGAGAGAAGTATTGTTTTTGACAGGACTGGCTAGGGTTCGAACTGAGGGCCTCAAACATGCTAGGCAAATACTCTATCATTCAGCTGTATCCCCAGACCTTTTTTAAGTTTTTATTTTGAGACACAGTCTCACTAAATTGTCCAGGCAGAAACTGAACTCACTCTATAGCCCTAGCTGCCCTTTAACTTGTTGCTTATTTTTATTTTATTTTACTTTATTTTATTGGTCTTTTTCGAGACAGGGTCTCCCTGTAGCTTCAGCTGGCCTGGCACTTGCTATGTAGACCAGGCTGGCCTCCATCTCACAGAGATCTGCCTGCCTCTGCCTCCTGAGTGCTAGGACTAAAGGCATGCACCACTATGCCCAGCGGCAGCCATTTAATTTGTAATCCTCCTGCCTCAGCTGCCTCAGGAACTGAGATTATAGCTATATGCCACCATGTCTGGTTTATATTTGCTAGTTTTATGCTCAAGAGGATTAACAGCTGGAAAGTCACTTTGCTTCCTACAGAGAGCCCAGATACTGGAACACAGCAAAGACATCTGGTAAGTCCTTTAGATTTATAGAATCACAATGCATCACACTGCCCTGTCAGCAGCTTAATCCCCATGTGATCTGCCTGCACTGTGTAGTTTGAGGCATTCTGATCTTGTGAGAATCTGATGCGTAATGTGATAAGGGTATTTATCACTAAAAAAATAAGTTTTTTGGTCTTTTTGAGACAGGGTCTCCCTGTAGCCCTAGCTGGCCCGGAACTCTCTATGTAGACCAGGCTAGCCTCGAACTCACAAAGATCCACCTGCCTCTGACTCCCAGTGCTAGGACTAAAGCTGTGCGCCACCACACCCAGCCTTACCACTAAAATTATACTAATCTTAAAATTTATACACTGGGGGCTAGAGAGAGGGCTCAGTGGTTAAGAGCACTGACTGCACAGAGGACCGGGGTTTGATTCCCAGCACCCACTTGGCAGCTAATAACCGTCTGCAACTCCAGTTCCAGGGGAATCCGATGCCTTCATCTGACCTCCACAGGCATTGCACGACATGGGTACACTTACACACATTAGGCAGAACACCCATACACATAAAATAAAAAATATTTTTTAAAAAATTTATAAACTGAGTCACAACAAATTGCATTACAAAGTCTGTGCTCAATCAAAATGCAGTTGGAAAGATGGGCAAGATGAGCAAGATCCAAAGAAAAACTATGTAATAAGTATTGAGTGCAATGTTGCAGAACCATTGCCAAGAACACAAAATTACTAGTTGACTGCCATTCATGCTTTGTTTAGTAGGGCCAGAAAACCCTAATCTAGCCCAATTAATTTTCTTTTCATTTTTGCTTTTTGTATTCATTTTCTTTTTATGTGTATGAGTGTTTTGCCTGCATGTATATAAGTGTACCCCATGGAATTAGAGTTATGTGCACCTGAAACTGGAGTTATGGACAGCAGTTAGCTACCAAATGGGTGCTGGAAACTGAACCTGGGTCCTCTGGAAGAGCAGCCAGTGCTCTTAACCCCTGAGCCATCTCTCCAGTCCCACTTACTGTATTCTTTAAACAAAAACAAAACACCAGGAGGTGGAGGGGACCACTAGGCACAACTAAATATTCTTCAACAGTGAGAGGCTAACAGACAGCCCATCTACCAAATGGACAGCTACATAGTCTGAGGAAGAACAGATCTACCAGGAAATTGGGACAGGTCTCTAAAACGAGGAACTATGCTGAATGAAAGAAAAAAGCCACCACCAAAGATCACATGCATAATAACCAGAGATGCTGGGTATGAAAAATATAGATATTAAATTTTTTTAAGCAAGATATAAAAATGATGGGCTGGAGAGATAGCTAAGTGGTTAAGAGCCCTGGCTGCTCTTATAGAGGACCCGGGTTCAAGTCCCAGCACCCACATGCTGGCTAACAACAGTCCATAACTCCAGTTCCAGGGGAGCCAACGCCCTCTTCTGACTTCCTTGGACACTGCAGGACACGGGTGCACCTACCTATAATCAGGCAATACACTCATACATATAAAAAATAAAAATAAATTTCCTTTAAAAATCACCGTACAGAATAAACAGGAGAATATAAAGGCTTAAAGCACAGAGAAAGAAGTAAAAAAGAGGCAAGACACCACTGTTCAAAGACACAAACATCCCAGTACTCACATACAAAGAGTTCTATGGGAGGGAGATGCACAACCATACACTGTACATGTTCCTAGAGCTGACACCCAAATTCTCAGACTGGCAGGGTCTTGGGAAAAGGTTCCAAGCATGAACCCCTAAAGGCTGCAGAGAAAATAAGAAATGATCTGGCCATGAAGGGTACTAGAAATGCCAAAGGAATGTTGTGCTGGCTAGCTTTAGGGTCAACTTGACACACCTGGGTTGAGGGAGCCTCAACTGGGGAATTGCCTCTATTGGACTGGCCTGTAGCCATGTCTGAGGGGCATCTTCTTGATGAGTGATGTGGGAGGGCCCAGCCCACTGTGGGTGGTACCACCCCTGGGCAGGTGGGCCTGTGTTGCATAAGAAAGCAGGCTGAGCAGGCGACAGGAGAGCAAGCCAGTAAGGAGCATTCCTCCATGGCCTGTGCTCCAGCTCCTGCCTCCAGGTTCCCGCCCTGAGTTCCTACCTTGACCCGGGATATGTAAGACAAATAAACCCTTTCCTCTGCAAGTTGGTAGAGGTCAGAGTGTTTTGTCACAGCAATGAGGAAACAAACTAAGACAAATGTGATCATAAATATGGAATCTATCCCAGTCAAATCAGTATCAGGAAGCTAGGTTAACAGTACTACAGACATTTTGAAAGCATGCATCATACACATGCCACTTAAAGCATACTGAGACACAAAAACCCCCTAAGCTGAGTGCTCAGGGGAGGCACTGCTTCCACTCAGTGCTAGAGCGCAGGACTCATGCAGCTCTAAGTAAGAATGAGCAAGGCAAGGCTCTCAGTCAGGGCCAAAGAAAAACTGTTTTTTTCCTGACAGAGTCTGGCTCATCTTTACAGAGCAAGAGAAGCCTTCAGGAGAAGAAACCTAGGAAGGACGATGTAGTATCATCTGGCTTTGTTACTCATGCACTTAGAGTGATCACCTACAGATAACCATTGTTATTAACCAGCTTTTCCCTTTGTTTTATGAAAGTCTACTTGTAGTTTTCATTAAAGCAAAGGAGGAAAAAGGTAGAAAAGAAGACATCAAATTACCAGGCCCAGGATGGACTTCGGCATGGTCTTGCGTGCCCTGTGAACCCTGACGTCGGTACCCGAGGCTGTAGGCTTCCTGTCCTCTGTGTCTGCACTCCCTTCCCCAGGGACAGCAGGCGCTGTGGTTGGTATCTGAGGAAGTGCACTTGGAGTCCTGCCTTTACTGGCCCCACCAGGAAGGGTTTTTGCAGCATGGCCAGGAAGAGAGGAGGCCAAAGTGTTGGGAGTCCTCAAGGGCTGCCCCTGCAGGGCTGGCTTATTTAAGAAGTATCCATTGCTGCCAATGACAGAAGTCTGCATGAAGTCGTCAGCTGTGACATGGTTTTGCTTCCCCACTTCTGTGTCCCTTTCTGAAAGCCCATTTTCCGCCACCCGGGATGCTCTGTTGGTACCTTCCTCTGGGCTAGCTCTTGTGCTCTCCTGAGTATGTTTGGCTACATTTGAATGGCTGGTGTCACCACTCTTTTCACAAGATCCATTGGTTTCACCATCTGGGGCCACGGGAGCCTCTCCTGCCTGTTTCTCTGTGGAACCTTCATCGGCAGCCATAGATATATCTGTGAACAGAAAAAGAAGTGTTACCAGCTGCTGGCATCCAATAGCTACCAGGACAATTTACAGTTCCTTTGGTTGGCATTCACAGAGCTATCTATAGGTCAAGGTGTAGCTCAGTGGAAAGATACTTACTTAGCATGTGCAAGGCCCTGGATTCTATTCCCAGCACACACAGAGTCTACAAAAATCCTTTTATCTCACACCAAACCAATACCTAATTCAAACAGATTAAATACAAAGTTATTTCTTTTAGATGGCTCAGCAGTTAAGAGCATTGACTGCTTTTGCAGAGGACCCGGGTTCGATTCTCAGCAACCACATGGCGGCTACAAACTGTCCTTAACTCCAGTTCCAGGGGATCCAACATTCTGTTCTGGGTTCTATTTGCATTGCATGACACAGATGCACACACTTACATATATGCAGGCAAGACACTTATACACATAAAATAAAAATAATTGTCTATTAAAGACTTCTTGAATAAGATAAGATGGTTTGTGCAGAGATCTAATATACCACCCTTCTTCTTGAGCTACTCATATTTTCCTGTTTTCCCTCTGACTTACTAGAGTACTCTCTGTCCATTTTTATTTTATGTGTATGAGTGTACTGCCTGAATGCATGTGAGTGCACCCATGTCGTGCAATGCCACGGAGGTCAGAAGAGGGCTTCAGATTCCCCTGGAGCTGGAGTTAAGGACAGTTTGTAGCCGCCATGTGGGTGCTGAGAATCGAACCCAGGTCTTCTGCAAGAACAGCCAGTGTTCTTAACTGCTGAGCCATCTCTCCAGCCCCACTGGTGAGTTTTAACTGTCAAATTGATACAACCTAGAATCACCTGGGAAGAGGGTTTTGTCTTTTTGAGACAGGGTCTCCCTGTAGCTCCAGCTGACCTGGAAATCACTATGTAGCCCAGGCTGGTCTTGAACTCACACAGATCCCCCTGCTTCTGCCTCCCAAGTGCTGGGATTAAAGGCTTGTGCCACCACGCCCAACTGGAAGAGTCTTAAATAAGAAATTATATGAATCAGGTTGGTTCACTGGTATGTCTATGGGAGATTGTCTTGATTTTTAACTGATGTAGGAAGACCCAGACCATTGTGGGCAGCAACATTTCATGGACTGGATCCTTTCATGGACTGTGTAAGAGTAGAGACAGGCAGAAGAATAACAAGCAAGCAAGCAGGATGACTGAATTTTTTCTCTCTGCTCTTGACTGGATGTGATGTGACTAGCTGTTTGAGTTCCTGCCTTGACTTCTTCAAAATAATGGTCTATAACCTGGAATTTCGAGCCAAATAAACCCCTTCTCCTCCCTTAAGCTACTTTTTGTCCGGGTGTTTTACCAGAAAAGAAACCAGGACAATCACTCACATTAAAAAAGCACGGTAAAATAAGACTGATATGCTGGGCATGGTGGCACACGCCTTTATTTCTAGCACTTGGGAGGCAGAGGCAGGGGGATCTCTGTGAGTTCAAGGCCAGCCTAGTCTACATAGTGAGTTCCAGGTCAGCTGGGGCTACAGGGAGACCCTGTCTCAAAAAGAAAAAAAAAAAAAAAAAAAGGCACTATACAGATACTCACTACTGTATGAACAAGTTTAATGGGAAGGCAAGAGAAAAGTTTATCATGTAAATCTTAAGCAGAAGGAAGTTTGAATGGCATATACCTACTAAACAAATCAGATTTCAGGCAAGGAGATATTATCAGGAGTAAAAGTAGATATTCATGGTAATAGGTGAGTGAATTCATCACAAAATATAATAGCCCTAACTGTGTGTGTGTGCTATGATGGATAAACTCCTACAAACACATAAAGTACCAAAACTGATGCAAGAAAAACAGAAAATGTGAATAAAAAAATCTAACAAGTCAAGAGATTCTATTAATAATTTGAAGAAAAAAAAGAAAACAAAAGCTTCTGCATGAAAAAAATAAAAAATTAGCCAGGCGTAGTGGTACACACCTTTAATCCCAGCACTTAGGAGGCAGAGGCAGGAGGATCTCTGTGAGTTCAAGGCCAGCCTGTTCTACATAGTGAGTTCCAGGACAGCTGGGGCTACAGGGAGTCCGTGTCTCAAAAAGACCAAAATAAATAAATAAAAAATTAAGACCAGGAAGATCCATTGATAAAGTCCATCATTCATCAAGTATTCAAAATGTAATTCATACCAACCGTTGACAAAATCCTCCAAAAACTGAAGAGGGAACTGTTCTGCAACCTGCTATGAAGCCAGCATTATTACCCTGATATAAAAACTAGAGAGCAGGGCATGGTCACGCACGCCCTTGATCCCAGCATCACTTGGGAGGCAGAGGCAGGCGGATCTCTGTGAGTTCAAGGCCAGCCTGGTCTACATAGCGAGTTCCAGGTCAGCTGGGGTTACAGGGAGACCCTGTCTCAAAAAGACCAAAAAAAACTAGAGAGACATATCACAAGACAAATACAGTAAAATACTAGCAAACTCATAGGGAAAAAAGAGCAATGGTGAGAGGTAATCAAATACTCCAAACAAATAAGATTTATTCAAGTAATTCTAGATTAGTCTAATAGCTAAAAATCAATTAACAAAATACATTCAGTATCCAGAAAAGAATAAGAGACAAAACACCACATAATTTATCAACAGACAAAAAGGGTATTTAACAATATCCAACCCCCATTTATGAGGAAAACACTTGGCAAATTAAGAATAGAAAGGGCCTTTTTGCCACCTGCTAAGAAGACATATCTGAAAACCTATAGCCAAAATCATTCTTTCTTTTTTTAACATTTTATTTATTATTTTTACTTTATGGGTATGAGTGTATTGCCTGCGTGTATGTGAGCGCACGTGTGTCGTGCAATGCCGAGGAGGTCAGAAGAGGGCTTTGGATTCCCCTGGAACTGGAGTTAAGGACGGTTTGCAGCCACCATGTGGGTGCTGGGAATCGAACCCAGGTCCTCTGCAAGAGCAGTCAGTGCTGTTAACCGCTGAGCCATCTCTCCAGCCCCCCAAAATCATTCTTAATGGTCAGGACTAGAAGCTTTCTCCTGAAGATCAGAAATAGTACAAAGATATCCATTCTTACAACTTTGGTCAAACCTTGAACTGCAGGCTTTAAGCAGAGAAATGAAGAAATACAAATAAAAAGAGTCAAAGCCATCTCTATTTAGAATGGCATGATCTTGATCCTTGTACACAGCAATTTCTAAGGAAATCTAAAAAGTAAACTAATGAATGAGTTCAAAAAGATTGCATGGCACAGGCTAAATAGACACAAAAAATGCACTGTATTTCTATATGGCATCAATAAGCCAAATGAAAGAGAATTAAGTCAAGCTGGTAGTCTGGTAGTGCACAGCTGTAATCCAGTACTCAGAAGGCTAAGGCAGGATTTCAGATCTGAAGCCAGTCTGAAATACAAGACACTGCTGCTCCCATGTACACGTGTGTATTCTCTCTCTCTCTCTCTCTCTCTCTCTCTCTCTCTCTCTCTCTCTCTCTCTCTCTCTCTGAGTGACCCCATTTTTTTTTTTTAAATCTCTTTAAAAGGGGCTGGAGAGATGGCTCAGTGGTCTTTAAAAGGGGCTGGAGAGCCGGGCATGGTGGCGCATGCCTTTAATCCCAGCACTCAGGAGGCAGAGGCAGGCAGATCTCTGTGAGTTCAAGGCCAGCCTGATCTACATAGTGAGTTTCAGGGCAGCCGGGGCTACAGGGAGACCCTGTCTCAAAAAGACCAAAAGAAAAAGGTCTCCCAAACAGGAGGTATATAGAGGGGTGGCTGATAAAGCTGGGGGCCACAAAGGAGTACAAAGTCATCATGGCATACCAGAAACAAGAGAATTAAAGAGGCCAGATGGCCGAGGCCTTCACAGGCACTGAGAGGTAATTCACAGCAAGGGCAGAATGCAGACAAGGACTATAGCCTGGTTTCTGACATGGGGCAGACGAGCAGAACCCGCCCCCCACAAGGTCCAGGGGACTGATGCAAAGCTCTGCAGGTACGTCATCTTTTTTTTTTTTTAATATTTATTATTTTTATTTTATGTGTATGAGTATATTGCCTTCATATATGTGAGTGCACCTGTGTCGTGCAATGCCGCGGAGGTCAGGAGTGGGCTTTGGATTTCCCTGGAACTGGAGTTAAAGATGGCTCCTGGCCGCCATGTGGGTGCTGGGAATCGAATCCGGGTTCTCTGCAAGAGCAGTCAGTGCTCTTAACCTCTGAGCCGTCTCTCCAGGCCTGGGTATGTCTTCTTAACACACGCTGGTCATACAAAGTCAAGTGTCTGCCTCCACTTTTTTTAAATATTTATTTTTACTATTTTTATATATCGTGTGTGTGCATCTGTGTCTATGTGATCAAATGCCATGTTTATCTGGGTTCCTGAGGAGGCCAGATGAGAGTGTTGGATCCCTTGAAGTCAGAGTTAACAGGCTATCTTAGTCGCCAGACAAGGGTGCTAGGAACCAAACTCCAGTCCTCTGGAAAAGCAGCAAGTGGTCTTAACCGCTGAACCATCTCCCTAACCTCATACCTCTACATCTAACAGAACAGTCTGCCTCCTTAAATCTCCCTCACACTGTCCCTTCAACATCATTTCCTCAACCCTCTGGAAACATCCGCTACATCTTCCAAGTTTCTACTTCACCTTGATCAGAATGACATATAAATAGAATCACATAGCATGCAACCGTTTAGGTCTGACTTTCTTCACTTGCCCAAACACCTACTTAATCCACGTTGTTGGGTGAATCACAGTTTGTCTACTATCCTACTGTGTGTGTATATCACAACTGTTTATCCAGTATGTTATCAGATAAGGCCTGGCTAGTATCAGTTTGCAATGCTATTAATAAAGATGCTACAAACATTAATGTGATTACTCACTTTTCACTAAGACAAAAATACACAAAGGCTTTGCTTTCCATACTTTGGTAAGGTTTCCTTTTCTTCTCTAAGCAAATCTTTTACATGTGTTTCTGTGTGTTTGTGAGATTAGAAATTACACTGTAATCCCAGGTAAACCCAAGGAAGCCAAAAGGCTGGGACAGATCATAGAAAAGTGGGTGCAGCAGTTCCCTCTGTCCCATGAATCAGCCCTTACCTTCCCTCAGCAGCTCAGTTTTCATGCAGCAGTCCTGCTTGTTCTCTCCCTTGGCTGGAACTGCCTGCTGGGAGGGGAAAAAATAAAAGCCATCAACCTGGATGTATCAGGGGCCGCTACAAAAAATTCAGTTATAAAACTCACCACAAATGTCCAGATTGGATTTACTAGTTCATGCACAGCACAGTCACCTCCAAAAAGAGAGCTAGCATTCAGAAAACAGTCCACAGGAAGAATATGCCTAGACTGCCATTTCTGGACAGTGCTCCTAAGAATATGTTCATATCCTATTTGCACAGCTAGAAATCTGAAATGCTTTGCTCTATTATAGGAATGCTATAATTAACTTTGAAATGCATTCTGTTAACTCATAAGTATGCAAAAGCCCAATACCTACAAAAGAGTTACAGAAATGGGCAAATAAGAAAATTCATTTAGACACTTAAATCACTAAATATTTGAGCTTGGGTGTCTACCATGTGGAGGGATACATTATGGTTCCAAAATCCCACATTTCTCCTGAAGCTTCAAGCTCCAAAAACTTTCAACTCCTAGAACTTAAAGGCATGACTCCCATCATACTTCTGATATGTCCTCCAAAGACATCATAAAGCTTTCTCCGAACACCCCACTGAACCTTCATTCAGCTCACTGCAAATTCTACTTTACCTCAAGTGTAGCTCCCAAGAGCAGGGTCATGTTTTACCGTATCACCCAAAGTTGATAACCTCCCACAACATCCCTCCTTGGTAATGCATCCTTAATGCTTCCCAAATGCTCCTATTAGCACCTCTTGAAAGAACCTGGTATCTTCACTACACCCACCCCAGTAACATAGGCCACATCCACAGAAGGGTATGAGCAGGATGTCACTTTCACCTGTCAATCACAGGAAAAGTCTTCTAAGCCTTCCCTGGAGGGTCCACAGGTCGTTTTCAATGTAGTCTGAGGACTCTTAAGACCAGATTTTTGAGGTACTTGCACATATACTGAGAAGAGGTGTCCTTCTGGCACTCCCTGCTCCTGGCCCTTGTCTGCAGGGGACCCAATGGATGCCTAAAGCCATATTTCCCATCACTGGAAATGAAAGTCAACCAGAACCACATATCCAGTCCCAGACACATTGAAAATTTCAGTGGACACATAAACCCTGCCCCATACCTATGGAGCTCAACTCAAGAGTTAAAAGATCAGACCAACTAAATGTGGTTTTATATCTTCAAAGCACTGTGAACAGTAACAGTGATGACATAGAACATGAGACAAAAATCTGAGGCAAAACCATCTGTGTGTTTTTTTTGTTTTGTTTTGTTTTTAAAGAAAAAGTTCACAGACTCCTTGTAATGACTCATACTGATTTATCAACTTCACAGGATCTAAAATCACCAGGGAGACAAGCCTCTGGGCATGTCTGTGAGGGTCTTTCTAGATTAATTGAGGTGGTATGATGGTTAGCTTTGTCAATTTGACACAATCTAGAATCACCTGGGAAGAAAGTCTCTCTGAAGGACTGTCTATAGAGGATTGTCTTAATTAAGTTAACTGATGTAGGAAGACTCAGCCCACAGTGGGCAAACTGCACAGAGTGAAGAAATTGAGCTAAGTGCAAGTAAGCATGTATGCATTTGTTTTCTCTCTGCTCCTGACTGTGGATGGGATGTGACTAGTTGCTTCCTGCTGCCATGACTTCTCTGCATTAACAGACTGTAACCTAGAATTATGAGTTAAAATAAACCCTTTCTTCCCTCAAATTTGCTTTTTGTCAGGGTATTTTATCACAGCAACAGAAATGAAACCAGAACAGGTAGCAAGAAGTTCTAAACTGAATAAAAAGGAGAAAAGGGGCTGACCACCAACATCATCTCTCACTGCTTCCTGATTAAATGTGACTCACCACCACATCCTCCTTCGCCATTACTTCCCCAACATAACAGGCTGTATTCTAAACTTATGAGTCAAAGTGTCCCCTCCTTAGGTTGCTATTGTCAGTTATTTTGTCCTAGCAGTAGACACAGCCATGTAAACTTAGCACCCATTATCCCTTTAACCCTTTATTGCCCATCTAGCTGTCCCACCAGCTGGTACCATTAGCATGTCCACAGTGACTAGCATGAAAGAGGAGGAAGAGTACACATGGATTTCCCAAGAGTAAGAAGAGGTACACTGCAAGCTTCTACCTCATCTTGCATACCTGCTCTCCAAACACCCAGGATACACAATCAGCATCCACGGAGTGATCAAAGAAAGGTTAAGCTACAGCCACTCTGGGATCATCATAGGGGTGGGCACAAAGCAGGGTAGTACTAGTAACACATGAGGAAGGCCAAGTAGACAAGCTCATCCTGAGACCAAAGCAAGAGCAGAAACTTTTGGAAAATTAAAGTTTTGATATTCTGTGGGAGAGGGAACATAGTTCTCATCACCTTTGCAGAAGGACCACTGACCTATATAATGTTCAGAATCCCTTATGTCAGTGGATCAGATGTGCAGCCCAAATTGTAAACCCTATTCCATCCCAAGCCTTGTTATTGCACATGTGTTTTGCACAACTGTACTGGTAAGCAGAACCAAAAAGACCTATTGGCAGACACATCAAGCCCTGCTACTCTCTAGCTCAAGATGGGGAAATAAAGTCTTGACAGCAAAAAGACCATCTACTGCTGAGTAGCCTGTGTCTGTGGCTTTGCAAGATAATCCTTAACTAACTCCTGAACTAGGATTGGACCCTGAGCCTTAAACTGGAAACTACCAATGTTACAGTCTAAATATGAAAATAACCCCTGTCCCAAAAGGTTCACTGTTAAAAACTTGGTCTCTGGCTGGTGGCCTTACTGAGAGGTGATACAGTCAGGAGGGTACTATTCCAAAGGCTGTTAGATTGGGGATGTGGCCTAATTGGAGGAATTCACTGGGGTGTGTGTGTGTGTGTGTGTGTGTGTGTGTGTGTGTGTGTGTGTGAGCTATATATATACATATATATATATGAAAAGAGGTATTTTGTCTCCAGCCCTTCCTGTGACTCTGCTTGCTAGCTGCCATGAGGCAAGCAACTTCCTATCAAATGCTCTCAACCATAATACTCTGCCTCACTTAAGTCCAAAAGCAGCCTGTCCTTGCATTGAAACTAAAACCTCTGAAACCATGAGCCAAAACAAACCCTTCTTTCTTTAAGGTGATGTTCATGTGTATTTGATCTCTTAGCACAAAAAAAAAAAAAAAACCTGATGCCACAGCCACCAGTAATAGCAGTTAATATAACAGAAACTCTGACCACCAGAGGAACTTAGAAGCAATGGCCCTCAGCAGCAACAGGGACACTAAGCACTGAATTGTGGGTCCTGTATACCACTTCTCTAAGAATCAAAGCTCCCAGAAGAAACAATGAATGCCAGGTAAAAGCAAAGAAAGTACAGGAATGCAGTTGTCTGACTGAGAAAGACAGTGCTCACAAGAACACAGCAATGCCTGAGGAGTTCCTGCTGCCCGAATCTAGGACACTGAAGCATCAAAAGAGATCGATTACACCCCAACATGATAATGATGCCTCAGTTCACACTCGATAAATTACTGGATAATAAGCAAATAAAGACAAAACTCTTCTTCATACTGGAATGCAGTACAGTGTGCACAAAAAGAAGACAAGTGCTCAAAGTAACCACTTTACTCTCATCACCATATTGGTCCAGATCGTATGCATCAATGAATACCAAAACTACTGAACCAAAGTTTGGATTTTTTTATTTTTTTATTTTTTTGGTCTTTTTGAGACAGGGTCTCCCCTGCCCCCTAGCTGGTCTGGATTCACTACGGAGACCAGGCTGGCCTTGAACTCACAGAGATCCGCCTGCCTCTGCCTCTCCCAAGTGCTGGGATACAAAGGTGTGCACCACCACACCTGGCAAGTTTGATTTTTTTAGAGAAATGAGTATCCCATTTACAAGTCAAGTGTCGTGGCTCACACCTGTGCTTCCAATTACTCAGGAGGCTCAAGCAGGAGGATTTTTAGTTCAAGGCCAGTATGAGCTACATAACAGTACCCTGCCTCAAATGGAGGGGAAAAAGGCAGGGTATTTTCATGTCAAAAAAGAATAACTGTAGTAGAGAAACCCATTTAGCATCAACTGTAAGACAAAATCAACACAACAAATCATGACAGAGGCACACCTTACACTTGATGTATACAACTCACAAAAACTCACTTCTGCAGTTCTACACAACATACAAACTGGAGCCAAACACACAGAAATACAAAGCAAATCCCAACCTAGGGGCTCTGCAGAAAACAGGTGGCCTTGTACTTTTTAAAAATACCCATCCATGATGGTACAAGTCTATGACCCTTTGTACTCAAGGAGGCTGAAATTAGAGGGTAACAAATTTGATGTGAGGATAGGCTATGTAGTGAGATTCTGTCTCAAAAAGTAAAAATTAGGGCCAGCAAGATGACACAGAGGATAAAGGAGCCTATCAAGTCCAATGACCTGAGTTTGACTCCCAGGACCCCCACATGGAGGAAGGAAGAGAACTGACTCACAGGAATTGCCCTCTGACCTCCATGTATACGCCTATATGTACGTACCCACACTAAGTAAGTAAAAAATGCAGAAATAAAAAAACTTAAACTGGGCATGGTGGCGCACACCTTTAATCCCAGCACTCGAGAAGCACAGGCAGGTGGATCTCTGTGAGTTGAGGCCAGCCTGGTCTCCATAGTAAATCCAGGCCAGCTGTGGCTACAAGGAGACCCTGTCTCAAAAAGACCCCCTCTAAAAAGAAAAAAAATTTAAGTAGGGGCTGAAAAGATGGCTCAGTGGGTAAGAACACTTGCTGCTCTTGCAGAGTAAAATCAATTCCCAGCACCCACATGGTGGCTCACAACCTTCTTGTTAACTCCAGATCCAAGAAATCCAACACACTCTTCTGGCCTCTGTAGGCACTGCATATACATGGTGCACTTACATACATGCAGGCAAAAATCTTTAAAATGTTTTTTATTTCAAATTGTTTTAGTAAAACTTAAATAATTTTTAAAATCCTATGTCTACTGGGTTGCCTACATTAACAGAT